ACCTTGAGGCAGTCCCATTTCTCATGGAAAAAATTGAGGGGGACTTCTTCAGTGACTGTTCTTACCTTGGCCAGTAGCAAGAATTAAGTCATAGGGATGTTTGTTTCCACTTCAGCAGACTTTAGGGAATTTGATAGGAACTAATTTTGAATTGTTTAGCTCAGTCGTGGAGATACTGGAAGTCCGCAAAGCATTCATCTGCAGAAGGCATTATCCTTTCATTGTGGCATTTGGGATGCTATTATAATCAACAATAATAAAATGCTCTAGATCTCTGTAGGGTTTACTTTAAATTATATGCTGTGCCCACGAGAACATACTCAGTGGTATTTACTTCTCTGTTTGTTTGTATGGAATTTGTACGAGTCCTGTCTCAGTTTGTCAGAGAACTATTAAGAAATGTACAGTATTCAATTGTTTCTGGCAAAGGACTTTGGAAGCAGATGCTGTGCCGCTTCCTTGCACTCAACACTGCTCTGGAGTATCTGCATTTCTCTAGGAAATTTATCTGCAAAATACTTCTGTAATGAAATAATATTTCATAGTGTCTGTTAGAAATCAGCCAAGATGCATGTGCCAATGGGCTGATAAGAACCACTTAGATTAGTGGAAGTCCTTCCATTAATTTCATGTAGTTTTGGATTTGTCTTTGAAGTTATAGATTAGTGATGGTGTAATTTAAAAGGAAATTTGTAAACGCATTGCAGGACATTCTGGGAAACTCTGGGAGCTGGTTTGAATGTCTGAGAGAGGCTTGAGACCCCGTCTGCTGTGTTGGAAGCTCATCTGAGAACAAACAAGCGTACCCTGTCATTTAAATCTCTTCCCTGTTCTAAGTCCTAATTTGTTTGTTTGGTTTTGGTACAAAGCTCTTGTCACAGCAGGTAGCCTGAAGAAAACGGTCTGTTTTGGGATACAGGCATCTATTTGCCATCCTGGAGCTAAAGATCTGCAGCAGGTGGGAAGCCAGGATGGAACCTATTTTTTTTTTCTCCTTTTAGTGCTAAGCCACTCTGGCAACATCAGTCCCAAATCAGCACCTTGCTTCTTCTAATGGTAACATCCACGGTGATATTATCAACTTCTTTATTATTATTATTCTATTATTAACTTCTTTACTGAAAGGGTTGTGAGGCACTGGAACAGGCTGCCCAGGGAGGTGGTGGAGTCACCATCCCTGGAAGTCTTCAAAAGACGTTTAGATATAGAGCTTAGGGATATGGTTTAGTGGGGACTGTTAGTGTTAGGTTAGAGGTTGGACTCGATGATCTTGAGGTCTCTTCCAACCTAGAAATTCTGTGATTCTGTGATCAAGGCACATTTGGTTCCTTGCTTTCTTCTTGGCAAAGAGAAGGAAAATAGGCACTGGGGAAATAGCATGAGCTGCATCACACCCCAAGCGGGAATATTATGTGGCTAAAAGGAGTTTGAGCCTCCTACCAGGGCAGCTCCAGGCCAATTCTATAAAGCAGCCGTGCTTTGGATGGGTGTTTTCCATTTCCTGCTCCTTTCGCAGTGGCCATTTGGTGAAACAGCTGCTTAATTCACATACAGATCTTTAAGATGTGACATCAGTCAAAGTGGTTTAAAGAAACCCAGCCCAGTTCACTTACTCATGGATGCCCACAGCTCTCACTGTCTCTGGTGCACACCTTTCCACAAAGCTTCATAGACAGTTAATTCCTTTCCCTAAGAAAAAACAATCTTTTTCATATTAGCAGCATGACATACTTCCCCAGCTCATGCTTCTACCCAAACACGTGCATGCTAGTTGTCCTTGCTAGGCTTTAGGACATAATATTAGCTTCTTGATAAATAATCTTTTTCTCTGGTTGTTCTTGTCAGCACTTTCAAATCCTTATATTAATTTCCAATGACTGTTGTTGAGATTGTCTTAATTGAAAAAACATTTACTGTAACTTTAGCAGCTGTTCTTCTACAGTACAAAATCGTGGTAATTGTGTTCATTTGGTGCAAGGTCACTGTAACAGAAAGGAAATGGTCTCCATTAATAGGTGGTATTTTCCCTGCGACAGTGTCTTGGTGCCCTTGAGGTGGGAATAAGGTGCACTACTTGGTGTATGAAATAAATAGCCAAACTACTTTTGAACCCTTATTTATTTAACTTCTTCCTATAACTTATTTTTCTGAAGCCAAATATCTTATCTTTGACTTTCTGTCTAGTTGGCCTAGGATTTGTGACTTAATCACCATGTTAATGGAATAAGCTTATTTGTATAGCACTCAGAAGGACCCCGAATGATTTACAGAAACGCGGAATGAAAACACTTTCCCATCACTACAATATGTACCCATTAAGAGAGAACCCCTTAGGCTGTCATCTTTCACTTTTAGAGCTGCTTTTTGTGGTTTACCAGTTAAAAGATGCCATTTCCTTTAGGTCTTAATACTTGGCAGCTACTGGATGCTGTATTCTACCTATAATTCTGCACTGACGTTTCCTCTTACTGGTTTCCAAATGTGTGTGCATGTATACACACAGCTTGTTCTTTACTTATTTTTATATTATTAGTATATTTACCTATATTATCTGTGATCTCATTTGAGGCTTTGTAATTGGTACTCAGCTGGCAATTTTCAGTATGTGCGTGAGGCAGATAATATTTGGGGGAAAATAAAAGGAAATGCTAAAGCTGCATTGGTCCTGGGAGTGTGGAAGTCCGTGTTGTGTCCTGGTGGGTGTCCTTGCATGGCCAAAGGAGGCTGAAGTGACTAGGAAATGTAAGGATGCAGTTCCGAAAGTACAGTTATTGTGTCTGCTTGCTTACAGACTGGTCATCTTATGGAGCTTTCAGTCGTGACATAGGGGTTTTGCCTCCACTGCAATGTGTAAGGAGTTGCACTTCTGCTGGTGCTTGTTCTCTGTGAGCAGCTTCATGACTATTTCCACCGTTTTCCAGTGTTTGAGGTTTCTAATACAGAATTCCACATTTACCTATGGCTATCTGTAATTGAGGGTAATGAGGGGCAGATGTTTGTTTGCCTTCAGAGGTTCTTGCATTTCATTTATGTGTTGGTTTCTCAAGCCGACACAGATCTCACGTAGCTGAATGCAATGTTCACATTTGCTGGGTACATCTGAAAGCAGTTACAGCGAGTTAGAGCAATGTGCTGTGTTTGAGGTAAGCCCGGGTTCAAAGAGAAGTTTATGAAATTTTAAATACTGAGGACTTCCAGCAAAAATCGAAGGAACTTGTAGCTAGAAAAATCAGTTATTCAGTTTAACCTAGAAAAGCCCATCAGGAAGAACTTCCTCATAAAGTTGGCTGTGTTTTTTGTTATTGTTTTTTTTTCTTTAACATTTTTTTTCCTTGCTCTCTGCAAACTGTTGGAACATACCTTGCATTAATATATTTGACTTTTAACTCTGCAGTTAAAAAAGAAAAAGAAAAGAATTTGAAAAGTAAAAAGTTACCTTGGCTCTTTCCTTTTTTATTTTAGACAACTCAAAGCATTCTGGTATGTTTTGGGGAGAGGAAGGGAATGGAGGAAGAGCAGCCAGCTGTCCCTCTTGAAGTTATGCCATATATATCAGCTTTCTGTCTGAGTCTCCTGCCCTTGTTTTCTTGTCCAGTTAAATCCTCTGTCTCTGTGCCTTGGAAGCAAACCACATCAAATGACGGATCTGATAGATAGCCCTTTCTGCTGTATCTTTTAATGCTTTTGTCTCTTTCCCATAATTCATGTTTTAACAAATTATTTTTTTTTTTAATTTTAAGCTTCTTTCAAGTTTTCTGCTTCCAAATAATTTCTCAATTAAAAGGCTTAGCAGTGCTTAACAGAAGATGAAGCAGAACTTTTTCAGTTCTCCCCTTCATAAGACAGAAGAAAGCAAATAAAACTGAAAAAACAATTTCTTTTTTATATGAACATGTATGTCCTTGTGACAAAAATTGTCTAAGAATTTTGCATCACGATGTAGTGAGATGTTATAAATAGTTTTCCTGTGACTTAATAATGCTTTTGCTTCTGAAAAAAAATTCTTTCTTGTCACTTTGATGGAAACTTCAGAAATTCTTCCAGACTTGTCCGCACTCCAAGCCTTTCAATTGCTTCTTTATGTTTTGTTTTCTTGACTGGTAACCTCAGATTATAGAGGCTGCAGGTCAGGAAGTCGTCTTCTTCCCAAGACAGCACTTAGAAATGTAAATAAGTCTGCGCTAAAAAGTACTAAATTCTTTTGAGGTTTTCTTTCTTTTTCAGCAATAGATCTAATAGTAGATAATGTAGGCATATTAAGACTCTAAGATACTAAGCACTGTGAAGTCTTTGGCAGTGTCAGAAATCATAGAGCAAAATATTGAAGGGCACTGAAGAAACATTTGTAATCTTCTATTATTTGTTCAAGACAAATGTTACACGCTGGTGGAAAAATTTGCATTATCAAACATGTCCCATTCCTTCCGGGCACTGGGTGCCCTTCATTTCCTATTGAAGCCAAAAGAGATTCAACATGTTGCCTCTCAGGCCACGATGAATACTAATGTCTTGATATCTGGTAGATCATTAGTATTTATTTGTGAAATGGAAGCAAAATTAGTTCTGACCTTTAGAGCTAAGCCAAAAGGTTAATCCACGTCCATTTCCAATTCAAAGCATTAATTGCTCCCCTCTCTAATTGTGTATAGGACAACAGTTACTGTTTGTTTCAGAGAGAAATCAAACTGTAGCTGATGGTTTGCATTCATAATACTGTTCTGTTTGCTTCTACAATTGAATTCCACATCACAGAATTTGTCTTCGCAGGTTCAGTTTAAAAAATAAATTAAAAAAAAATCTGTTATTCTGATGTATTTGTTTTAAATCAATGCTTCCTTTCTGCCTGAAACTAGTGGTATGTTAATTACTTCCTGATAAACAGAAGATACAAATAAGTTTATGCATTTTTCCGTTGATCAAATATTAGTGTTGGTGGGAGCTCCGAATATGGGCAAATAATGCCAGTGTGAAATTAACAGCTGTTTGTGTTTCTCTTACAGCTACACTGTACACATCCTGCATTTTGTTGGGTATATTTCTCAACAGCAGCGTTCCAATATTCTTCGAGCTCTTTGTGGAAACGGTCTACCCCGTTCCAGAAGGAATTACCTGTGGAGTTGTCACCTTTCTGAGTAATGTGTTTATGGGAGTGCTCTTGTTTTTCCTCACATTTTACCACACAGGTAAGAAATCCTAACAGGAAAGAAATACAAGCTACTTTGATAATATAATTCTTCATGAATGCGTAGCCTTGTCAATAAGGGGAGGATTTGCACATACGATTTCTGTTAATAACCAAATGCACTAATCCCCTTTGTAGTAGTAAAGAGTAACTTTGTTCTACAGGCTTTCTAATTAAAAAGAAAAAAGCTTTCATGCAAGATATATGTAGTCATGTACCACTTAGAATTTATTGTAGCCAGAAACCATCAAGATACACAATCATCATATTTTTATAACTATTTAGAATTTTATAAATTTTAGAGAAATATAGATAAATATCTATCTTAAAATGTTTAATATTTTTACTCTAGAGTAGTATTTAGCTTCCTCAGAACTCATACTTGGAACTTGCTATTTAAGAGGAGGCTGAGGGGAGACCTCATCACTCTCTATAACCACCTAACAGGAGGTTGCAGAGAGAAGACTGTTGGTCTCTTCTCAGGTGACGAGTGATAGGCCTCAAGCTGCACCAGGGGAGGTTTAGGTTGGGTGTCAGGAAGAATTTCTTTTCAGAGGTTGTTTAGGTTGTTTAGGGGTTGGGACAGGCTGCTGAGGGAGGTGGTGGAGTTGCTGTTCGTGGAGATGTTTAAGAGATGCGTGGACATGGTGCTTAGGGTGGGATAGAAGTGGACTTGTAGTGCTGGGTGCATGGTTGGACTTCATTACCTTACAGGTCTTTTCCATCCTGCATGATTCTGTGCATGGTTCTGTGATTCCAAGCTGCAAAACAAGGAGCAGTCTTTCTTTAAAGGGGAAGTGGTCCTTATTAGCAGTTTTTGAAGATGTAGATTTTTGGTTTATATTTTGTTGTCATGATAAATGTCTGTTTCACGGCAGAAGATTTGAAAAACAGTGTTTTATTTTTTTGCTCTGGAAGCATTAAAAATTGAAAACTTCTATATCAAAGCATTTAGCACTTAAGATGGTTTGTTTTATAACCCAGAGGACACCGACAAATTTCAGAATGAATTGTGCTTGAAATTATGAAGGTTACAGTGTGGGGAAACTTTTCAAAGTGGTGTGTGCATCGTTCTGTCAAGGAACTGTAAGCAGGTTAACAATAACATTCTTAGTTATGTTCTGTGAACACAAAAGAGAGAGAATGGGTTTTTGTTTGTTGTTCTTTTTTTCAAGGTTCCATCAAAATGCATTGTTGTGGGAGAAAAACAACAACAAAAAACTGAATTTGTCCAGACCAGCCTCTGGTGGTTTGATGTTTAGTCCTGACTTTTTAAATAATGTTTCTATGCTTAATATTAATTCATGTGAACTCCTTTCCCATATACTGTTATTTCCAACATTTCTGCCTGAGCTGAAAAGATTATATAGAATACTCCGAGGATATTTTCATCATTTTTCAGTCCAGTGTTCTGAACTGCTTAATAATTGAGGATTGGGATGCAATGCATCTTACTGTTTTTGTAGTCTTAACTTCCCTCTGACTAAACAATTATGGTAAAGTGAATTTATTCCCTAATACATAGGGTATTTGGGGCCATTTTTTTTCCTTGAGTAAAGCTTTCCCCAGCACGTATCAGTAAATACAGGTAAGAGTAAACCTGAAATTAGTATACTCATACACTTGGAATCTTTTCCCTATTTTTGCAAAAGAGGAGGAACATCTGTTTGTGCTCAGGATGATCCGTTCTCAGTGATGAAGTAACAGAAATGATCAAAACTACAAATGTTATGTGGTCGCCAGAGGCGATCAATGCCAGTGGATGCTATTGCTCCTTTGATAAAAGAAAAATCCTTTAGAATTTAGATAACGATCTTAAATACTTGTCTTCCCTCTGATTAAAATACATCTTCTAATGGCATCTAAGAAGTTTGAGTAAATCAGAACTCAGTCAAGTTTATCTTGTTCCCTCGCTCTTGCTTTTTAAGCCAAACAATCTTTCAGTAGTTGTAATTCTATTTCTTTCTTCTCATACTTTGATATTGCAACGGCTGCAAAAGAACCAAGCCCTGGAAACTTTAGAGTGCGTTGAAGATTTTGGTCCAGCTGACTCTGTTAAGAAGGGGAAATGAAAACCTTTCAGAAACCTCAGCATATTTTCTATTGCTGTGTTTTGAAATGAAAAGCCTCAATCTCTGGATGTGGCTTCCTACAGGGAGTTCCAAATAAAAACCAAAACCAAATCACCCTTTAGCTTTGTGTGATCAATATGTTAGCATGAATCTCCAAATTCTGGGCCACAAAACATGTAAAGGGTTCAAAAGGAAAACGTAATCTTTTAGGATATATGGGTTAAACTATATTTAGTCCAATTAAGGATATCACTTCATATAGAAAATAGCAAAGTATTTGCACATGAACAATGTAGTCTTCTCCAAGCCTAGGAAAAAATTAACATTTTATTAACAAGATTACTGCCTAACCAAATCTGTAAGCTTTTAGGGAGAGGGTGTTGCCGAAGGCTGCTAGGTTTGGGGGGTTGGTTTCTCAGGTTTTCTGACTCTTATCCTTTGCATTGTGTAGTTTTTTTTGTGAATTTGTGAATTTTGCTTTCTCTATTAGCGATATAAATTTTAGATTTCTGAAAGTAATGGTGCTGAGGTCTTAATTATGATTTATCCAGACCATGAGGGAGAATTTAGTTTATGTAAAATAAATAAAACAATAATAATAAAAGAACAAAAAGAACATACATTTTTAAATGAAACAAAACAGTTTCCAGTAAAAGTGACGCTTCATTAAATTAACAGAATTGAAAGGAAAAAAAGGGTTGTGGTGCACTTGTTTTCGAATAAAACTGCTTAATTTGTAGTCAAATATCAGAATATAGGATTTCTTGAACGTGGAACATATGCTTTTAAAAGAAGTGCGTTTTGTCTAACAGCTAAAAAGAGTCTTCTGAGGAGTTGTTCACGCAACTAGTTTTAAATTGCATTGATTGCACTGCTCACAAGGTTTGTCAGAGGAATTAGTTTTCCCTCCTCAGACCATGTAGCAGGTTTGATTCAAAATCAAACCCTGCTGCTTCTTATGCTTTTAATTTGTTTTAGTTTTCAATCCATAGAAATCAAAGAACTAATGAGTAGAGTGTTCAGAAGTGGTTTATTCTCCATTAGCAAGGATAGATTTTTCCCCCCCCCATTCTCCATTGACAGGTTGAATAAGAAGCATTAACGTTAGCTGGAGGCATTGGTTTTATATATATATAGAAGTAGTTTGTGGAGGAGTCTCATGGACCATGTTAACCATCTATTGATTGCAGAGTTGGCAAGTTTTTGTTGAGAAGACAGCAACTTCCTTCAAACCCACCAGCCGTGTTTCTGGCTTGAAGCATTACAAGTTTAGGTAGCTTTAAACACGGAGCATGTTGGATAACTCTGAGATCGAGTCTGTCTTCTGCTTTACAGAGTTTTCCTGGTTCAACTGGTGCCTCCCGGGATCGTGTCTGCTCGGCCTGCTCCTCATCCTGTGCTTCCGAGAATCCTACGACAGACTCTACCTCGATGTCGTTGTCTCTGTCTGATAGTGCAGGACTGCTGACTGGTTGGAAGAGACTGAAAGTTGATTTTGCAGTCTGCACATCTTCCTGGATTTGCACAGCTGACCAGAGGAAAAACAAAGAAATTACAAGACTTAATTATGGCTTTATTAGAGAGGGTGAGGGACATGTTGTTTCTTATGTTCAAGATCCCCTTGTTTTGCATTAATTACAGGCAGATAAACATGGAACTTGAGTGATGATAAAGATGCCTGAAATGCACAAAGAGAATATATCTGATGTACAGGTACCAGTGTCAGAACTGGAGTTCTCTATTTAAAAGGCTGTTCATGTAGCAGTGAGATGTATGAGTCTGTGTGTGCATGTGTGTGTGCCAACTCAAAGTTGTACACACCGGGGTACCAGTCACCTTCAAGTCTTCTATCAGAATAGGTATAGTGAATAATCTCTACAAAAGGAAAGAAAAAAAAAACATTTTTATAAATCTCTTAAATTGCTAGTCACTTCTATAACAAATGTCCATTAAACAGTTAAGCTAAAATAATTTGGTGCTGTACACTACATTTACGTTCGAATAAAGTGATTTCTGATATAAGACACTGGTACCAGGGTTTTTAGCCATACTAAAATCCCAGTCAATCCTTGCGATGTTGTTAGAGGTGTTTGTTTATCACCCTAGAGCACATGGATGCAGAACGGTAGCCGTAGGTGCCACTGAAACGTAGCTGCAACTGCAACCAGCAGTTGCCTCTGAAATACTGCCACAGCTCTGTATGTCCTCAATGCATAGCATCTGTGGTATCTCAGAAGTTTACTGTAGAGTCACTCTTGGTATTTGTTGCTCTCCTAAAGGCTACTGCTGTCTCACCTTTCCATCCCCCGTCTCCAATACTGCCTTTTGTTTTCTATTTACTGTGAAAACCTGTGTTCATGCCGATAAATACTGTTGGTGTGGATGTTCAAGTCCTGGTCATTGTCTTCTGATACCCTAAGGTGTGCATGGTTTTTAGGATTAGTTTACAATTGAGGGTGCCTAAGCAATACTGTTTCTTAACCCTTTAAAAATCACTTTAACTCTTTTAAAAATCACAGTTTCCTAAAAAAAAAATGTTTATAGTTTGATGGGGTGCCCTGATGGCGAAATGACAATGAGTTTGACAATGAAAAACAACTCATGAGTTTTGGCATAATACGGGAAATATAATGCCAGCTCTTTTTATCAGTAGTAATTTGTGGTCGTTCTGGCCCTTACTTGAACATAAATATTGAAGACACTTTGAATAGTTTTTTAACTCAATTTTAAACCTGCTAATAATTTCCTAATTATCTGCTTAGATTTCAGTTCAGCATCATTTACAGTATTCCCCATGTGTGTGTTCTATGCTTTGTGTTGTGTGTGTGTGTGTGCGTGCATATTTATATCTATGTATACACAAATAAAGCTTATATATATCTAATATATATATAAGTTATATGAGGGTATGTGTTTACATAGGTTTATTTTAAATAATTATGTCTCTGGATGGTGGTGGTATGCCACTGTTGTAACTAAACCAGTCACTGCCGTGAACAAAAATGCATACGTCGGCTGTCTGTGACATGGTTTATTTTTTTTCCTGGGGTGAATGATTTCCTACCGTAGCTATTTTATAATACGGAGCGCGTGCACATGTTAGAGGAGGTTGGTGTGCAGAGTTCTTCGTCGACATAAGTTTGAATCAAACGCCCTTTGCTCCTACGTGGGGCTCTCCTCTGCCACTCTTGAGTGATACAGACACTGTAAACTCACTCAAATAAAACCTGATCTGAGTGCTACCTTTCCGACATGTATCCATTCATTGTCTTCTCATTTTTCAGACAGAACATGCCACTAATACCTTCAGCTCAGGAGTGTATTTGTGCAGCAAAATAAAGCAGATGCCATGAAACAGCTTGCTTTTATGTTTTCAAATGTATTTACTGTAGTAAGTAGCAGAAGATTGACTTAGCTCATTGCCTATATCAGTGACTAAATGATCTTTTTTTCCCTCCTCAAAACATGTTCTTTGTAGACAATGGAGCTAACCTACATAGAGATAACTTAATCGATCTAACTATCACATTCAGAACCACCGGCATCATCCTTTCATCGTCTTTCAGATGGATGGTATTAACTGTCCAACTCCTTTTTACTATGTTTTAGTGCCTGGAATAGTTTTAGTATCCAGTAGCTGTTGCTACCTATTGTTTTCTGAAAAACTAGGATTGCTTGCCAAGAATTTGATTGCACTTGCATTGTCATGGCAGAATTGCAAGCTCGGATGGCTCTTCAGAGCTCTACTTCTGCAATTTACTGGAGCTATATTAGGATTAAAATTGCACAGTTCATGCACTGTCCCGAGTGACAGAGATTTCTAATCCTTTCACTGTCCAGACTATTTTAAGGTGGAGGAGCACCTGAGGCAGCGTTCAGACGATAACCTATTCTTCCTCTGTTTCAGAAAGCAGTGAACAATTCAAAATATTTGTCAGTGCTGCCAAATCTAGACGCTCTGTACCGTCAGGGGAGAAGACTGAACATCTTGTTTTAAGCCTTGTTGAGTGTTTTCCTGATTTGCTGTGAATTGCTTGCTGCTCTCCTGAACTTTAGATGCTTTTGATAGAAGTTTCTGTGTCTGTCTTGGGCACTGTAATGTGTGGTCTTAATTACAGCCCTCAGCACCTCCACCTCTGCATTGAAACAGAAATGTTATCCAGGGCTGAGCAGTACAACAGGATGCTGCTGGAGGGAGACCCGTGCCATGACTGCAGGCACCAGTCTGCAGTCCAGCCTCAGCCAGAATTCCCAGCAAATCTGATGGAAATCTTCTTGAGTGAAAACCGAAGGATTGCTCCCAAATTACTTGAAGTTGCTGAGGACACTGCTGCGTTCCGGGCACACAATCTTTAGGTCTTTATTAGATTCCCAAGTCTGGCTTGGGACAGGATGCAGGGATTGCAAATGTACTTGCTGAGATCTCTTGTAACTTGTTCTCATTTGTGATCGTCAGCATCCTCCCTCTCTGGAGAAGCAGTACATTTCACGTCAGTAACCCAAATGAAGCTTTGGGAATATTTCTTGGATAAGGGTTATCAGATAGGTACATCCTTGTTGGGATCTGCCGTGGGTAAATGGTATCAATTAGTGATAGTTCTAGAGAGAACTTGTGAATGAGTAACAGCAGGATTCGTTTGGGTTTTTCTCTAAATGAGATGTTGTCTAGCACTGTCACAGAATAGCTGAAATTGGCTGCTGCTTCACCTCTGACTTGCAAACAGAGGAAGGTGCTCTGAGAAGTTATAATATTTATTTGTCTTCATGGCCCTTAAGTTCATGGCCCAGGAGAGCAATTTTTTCCTGCAGTTCAGAACCCCTTGATCTGCTGTGTTTTATACTGAAAATGCTAGGGAGGATGCACTGTAGTCGCTCCCCTCTCTTTAATAGACCTTCAGTTCAAGTAGTTATACACTGGGCTGCCTTTCAGATTTCTGCTTGGCTCACTAATAACTCCAAATTCATCTTCCAGTTCTGCTGGCTTTTCTTGCGAGCTCTGGAGCTGCGCTAGCCTTCATGCTGCTAATGAGGAAGCTCAGGTTTAGAAGTTGGCTCTACTTAAGGCACTATTTACTGTCTCTTCCCTGTTTTTACCCCTTAATTTCCTTTTGATTGCTTTGCTTTGCCGAGTGGCCTTCTGTTCCCCGTGTTGGTGGCAGTGCAGGTGCTGTGGCAAAAAGCTCCCAGATTCTCAAGTCGATTTTAGAGAGATGGGTCCTATCTATTTAATATATATATAAAAATAGTGATTTTCAGAAAATCATGCAGGCTGGAGGAAGGTACAGACCCGAAGGCTTTTACGTGTGTATGAGCAGTGTTGCAAAGCCGCTACTCACGTGCCTGAAACTCACAGACTCGGCTCCTACACCTAGATAGCCCCAACTGATATGGACCATGCTTGCTATGGCTGCAGGTTCACAGCATTGCTGAGGTGTTCAAACCACCCGAGAGATCCGAAATGCATATGAACAAGATGTCTTTCATCTTCAAGTGGCTTAAAAAATCCTGGGCAGCCTCTGTGTTTGCAGCTGTAGCTCTGGGGGGACAGGCTGACAGACTAGGAGTTTCTGGAGGGCATTTCAACACTGAGATCCTGTGGTGAGTTATCAAATCCATAGAAAACTTGAAGTTTCGTGGTGATGGAGATGTTAATTTATGGTCTATTCTACAGTAAACTTAGCAAGTGAATGCATAGCCTTGCACTAATATAATTAAACTGTCTTGATTGACATTTGTATATTGGCTGTTACTAGAAAGGGAAGTGCTGTTAAATGTGGGGGCTCACGGAAATATGAATGGGGATTATACAGTTTGCACAGAGAATTTAGCTGTCCTGTAATGCTCTGACAGCAGATTTTTAATCGTTAATCCTCATTTCTTATGTTAGGTCACTTTCAAATGTTAATTAGTGTCTGTGACAAAGGCATTCCAGGTGGGACTTTTTAGTTCCATTAGACTTATTTTTTTTCCCAAGATTACAATTATGGATTATGGTAATAATTTGGCAAGATAACTGCTACACGTGTATGTTGTGTTCGGTATTGATTTCATGTCTGGTGTCACTGCTCCCAGTGCTGCCGAAGCACCAGGCTGCGGGGGACATGGTGTAGGTGAGGGTGTGAGAAGGCGCCCTGCAAAAACGAGGAAGTTCCTCTTCCAGCATCTTCCTTGGGCTCCCAGGAAGGGATCACACCTCTGAGAGGCACACAGACACCTCCTGTGTTTGCAGGGGAGCTTTTGTACAATCACAAGCTTCATGCATTTCCCTGCAACTGTTACCACTGCCGTGTCGGTTGTAGGTGGCATTGGAGAATCTGCTTCCCAGCACCAAGGAGTCACTTTGGAGCATGGAGTTTCAGTAGAGCAGGCAGCAGGCGCAGTAAAACTCAGCTGATGTCAATCTGCTTATAATTCTTACAGTTTGTGTTTCGAGGCAGATGAAACCAATAAATAGAGGAGGAAATGCATTTCTATCCAAAGCTTGACAAGCAAAAGCAAACATTTGCACAGATGTGCTGGCTCCTGCCTTTTGTTTGTGATCACAACGTGTTTAGAGCAAACCCTACCCACCCAAAAAGCCTTGGGCACTGTGCTCCCTGTGGCTGGGAGTGCCTGGGCCGAGGGGAGGGGAGATCAGCGCAGAGCAGAAGGGGATTTGCTGCAGCCAGGGGCTGCTGAGGTGCTATGGCCCTGGGTCTGTGCAAGAGGGATTTTCCTACAGCCCCCTCGGAGCTGTCATAGCAGGGTCTCTTTTCCAGGGGCCGCCTCCTCCCTCTGCAGAACATTTCTAATTCAGCTGCTCCAACTCCAGGTTCCTAGAGCTAAATCCCTTTTGAAAACTTCAGTTCCGCTTTTCGACTGCTTTCTGGCTCAGAGGTTGGGACAGGCCTCTCTCCCTCCCCTCTTGGGGGTGATCTGCTCGCGTGGTGCTTCTGGAAAGGCGAGGGCTTGGCCTCAGCTTCATTGCCAGTCCTGCTGCTGGGCTTCCATCGAGACGTTCATCCCCTTGGTGCCACCCCACTGCACTGAGCAGAGCGGGCAGGAAGCATTGGGGTGCCTGGGGCCCCGCTGCCTTCTCCCAAACTGCTTCTGGGATTTGCCTCTGGGCACTAACAGAAGGTGAAGGAGGAGGCATCTGGGCTCTCCTGGGTGGCTTCAAAGCCTTCCTCATGAGCATGGTTCACTCATGGACTTCATGGACTCCCTCAAGGACGAGGTTCTGCATCTGCAGCACGGTTTGTGCTGGAGCAGGTACTGTATTGGTGCACAGTTGCTGTTTGCTGAGGCGCAGCAGGCAGGGAGGGGGCCTGCGCTCTGCTACGAGAGCTTTTCCGTTCCCCATGTCTCACACCGCTGCCTTCCCCTGGGATTTCTTCACTACGTGTAGCTGGACAGGCTCCTTACTCTCCCTCTGTATGGCTACGTGAAGAAAATACCAGGGGAAACCCTTCTTAGGGAGCGCTTTTCCCTTTAGGCCCAGGCCCTTTCTCTACCCTTGATCCATCCTCTCAGACAAGGCCCAGGCCCCGTGTTTTCCCTCAGAGGTGTCAGGCAGGCTGCCTCTCTCTGCAATATTTGTTTAATTAAGGTCTCGTTTGCATTGCCCGGTCTAACAGCGGGGTCACCATGAGCCCCCAGCGGCCGTGGGCACAGTCCCGCAGCCCAGGCCTGGGAGCACCGCGGGCAGCTCTCCCACAGCCAGGCCCGTCCGTTTTACCCCCGTTTGTACGCGTCCCACTTTTGTAACTTTTTAAATGATTTGATAGAGTTTTATTTTGAGGTAAATTCTACTTTTTGTATGCAATATTCTGAGGTGATGTATTTTTATTTTTAAGAAAATGGTGTTTAAACCACTGTATGCCTGTCAATGTAACACACCCTCTGTGTCATCTCTTTCTAAAACTGGAATCTCACCATGACTTGTGTGTTCCTGCTCGTAATGCTTGTTGCACATTAAAGAGGTTACTCAGCTGTGCTGCCACTAGTGTTCATTAATTAAAAAACAAACACAAAAACAACGAGGGAATCATTTATTTCTGCTGTAACACTGCTGAAAAATACTGGAGATATTGCTGCACCCTGGAGAGTCCTGGCTAAAGGACTGAGCCTGCCCTCTGGGACAGCAGAGGGCAACAAAGGGAGGTGGAAGGGGGTAGGTGGGGTTCAAAGAGGAAAGGGTATTTCTTGATCCCAGCCTCATCCCTGTAGCCCTTTCGTGCAGCCTCTGCTTCCTCCCACCACCTTTCTCATTCCCCATCCAGTCACATCCACGCTTCAGTCTCGGGATGGTGCAAGCAGGCTGGTTGTAATTGCTACCATTTTGGTCTGAGCTTTTGGAAAGGATGCCCTTCACAGTCCCCTTACTTGTGTTTATTCTTCATTTAATTGAAACAGGCCCAACCTGGGATCTCCTGATCCATGTTTATTTTCTAGGACCGGCCCTTCAATACCGTCCTGACCACTTACCACGGCAAGTTTAAAATAGCCTCACATCCTATTAGTGCCGGGAAGAAATCTGTCAGCTCTGGTATCGCGGACTATCTGGGCCCCACTATTCTTAGCAACAGCCTCTTTCCAGGCTATATATGGGAGCCTGCGGCTCTCTCACCATACAGCTCCCGCTCGTATTTATCTTTGCGGTGCTGCAGAAACCTCTGTGCTGGGGGAGAGCAGGGCCAGGGGTCCGGCTCAGATCCACGCCCTGGCTTTGTGTATTGCCAAGCCCTCTATGCTCAGCTTTGCTCAAAGAGATTTATTTATTTTTTTTGCCCAGTTTCTATTTTAGCTTTGTTATTGCAATCTGCCTCCCTGGTGCGTAAAGGATGTTTAGGCTCACTGGCTGACTGCTTGCTGCCTTTGGGCTGGCCCAGCAGCGCAGGCTGGGCTCCGGCTGCTGCCTCCTGTGGAGGTCAGCCTTGGGAAAGGGCTGCAAGAGCCACCTTCACTGCCAGGAGCCAAATGAGCATGGGAGCGTGGCCTGAGAGCTGTGAGGCATGTACCAGAGCTGAGCCTGTCCATCCCTCCCTCCCTCCCTCCATCCACCTGGCCGCAGACCGGCAGTGGCAATGAGCAGCAGGGGGGGATCCAAACCCCCCTCGGGGAAACATCGTCCTGGTCGGGCACTGGTGCAGCCAAAAAATGTTGTTCCTAAGACATGCGAAAACAGCAAACAGTAACGCGGCTGCTGCCAGAGCAATAGAAGCGCGTCAGCGTCGTGCCTGGTCTCTTGTATGGATCGCTCGCTTATGACATTAAATTAAGTGCTGCAGAAATGGGGATAGCTCTCTCTGTGGCCGCTGATGCTTCACATCACGGAAATATCAGATGTTTCTGGTGTCTGGCCGTTACCCTGCGCTGGGGAGTGGAGCAGTCCCTTGCTGGCTCCGCTACTCCCACGGCAGCAAGGAGGTGCAGGGGTGGCAGAGGTGCCGAGGTCGGGCGCATCGATCCTTGCCCGCACGGCACCATTCCTGTGGCTGCTGTGAGCCTTGGGTGCGTGAGACACCACGCTGTCCCCGAGGGATGGAAAGCCAGGAGCATGTCTTGCTTCCAGCTAAGTGCTGGCTGAGAAGCTGTGGAGTTTGACCTTGAAAATCCTTCCATCTGTAAAAAAAAATCACTCTGAAGCGTGACAGCGGCAGGGCACAGCTCCCCAGCCAGGAGATGCTGCTGCAGCCGGAGGAGCCTCCAGGTGTGCAGGGGACACCACAGCCACTGCTGTCACCTCAGGGCCCCAGCGAGCTGCAGCTTTGGTGGTTTTTAGAGGCCTGAGGTATGGCAGTGGTGGATGGACGTGGCCTTCAAAACCTGGTTCTGCCCATTTCCAACAATTTAAGGAATTTATTGTCTGTCCTCCCCTCACAGGTGGGGGTGGCAGTGGTGCCGTTGGGATTTTTGCTTTCGGGAGCAGATCTGGGCCGTGCTGGAAGCTGCCTCGCTCTTGACTACTCTGCAACTCAGCTTGCTGAGCAGAAAGAGCAGAGCCAAGCCCACGTGCATGCAGCTCTATGAACGAACCAACCAAAACACATCGAAACGCATTTCAGCTGTTAGCAGAACAACATTTTTAATGACTCGCCGAAGCTTTTAGTAATTGAGCCGCATGTTTGAGAGCACGCAGTCTGTCAGATACAAACTGGAGAGGAGAAGAACCCAGCTGAGATGCCCTGGGAGCCACTTCTGTTGCAGGAGGGAGTTTGGAGACCGGCAAAGCCAGGCGTGAAGCCTGGCAGTGGGCTGAGGCCCTGTGGGCAGAAGCTGCGGATGGCCAAAATGGCAGCAGGGGCTGCTGCGAGCTGAGCCCTGGTGTGGCCAGGAGCAGCCCCGCTGCAGGGCTCGGCGCAGGGTCGGTGGGGAGCCTGGGGGATAACTCAGTGTCCCCCGGCCCCCACACACAGCCAGGAATTACAAAGGGAGAAAAGCGGTGCTGCTGGGAGGGGGGTGGTGAAGGTGAGAGAACAAAATGCACCCGGGCTGCGAGCGAAGCTGTTATGTTAATGAATCAAATTAGCACCTAGGAAAAAAATGTTGTGGTAGGCAGATTTTAAGGAAATTGGAAATGGGCTCCGACGTGACGCGTTGCTCTAATTGTGCGCAGAGGTGTCTTGCTGCAAAACAAACCCATTCCAAAGTGGTCTCTCCATGTTATTCTGCAAACTAACTGAAAAAAATCAATCTTATTCACAGCAAGTTTGTTTTTACTGATCCTGTGCCTCTCAATTACTTTTTAATGGCCTGCATTGAAAAGAAATTCCTGTGTGCACACTTGAGATCATGAAAACACCCAAATGATAGCTTATGATTTAGTAGGATTAAAGTATTATGTATGCAGGTGTAGCACGTTTCAGGTTATTAGTAATCCAATCTATTTTTTATGACATTATGGTGTAATTTTCTGTATAAAACTTCAATATAAGTCTCGAGCTGTATCGGAACATAAACTAAAATGTTCCTGACTCTGTCACTTCCCATGGTCTTTACTTTGATTAACAAGCGCAACAAGAGCCATAACGCTCCTCAGCGCGAGGCTGCCACCATCCTTCAATCACAGCGCGCCCCTCCGCCGTTCACAGCTTTCACAGCGTGATGTGAGGACGAGGAGAAGCCGTGGTCCCGTGGCACCAGCCCGCACCCAGCCACCCGCAGCCCCTCGCCCGCCGTGCTGTGTCCCCACAGCCCTCCTGCCCCCGGTCCGGGGCAGGGCAGCACCTCGTCCTGCGGCAGGGTGCTGGGATTTGGCACCCCGCGTTGCAGAGAGATGTGGGCTCGCCTCGCCAGGCACCTTGTGCGGCAATAGGAGCTTTGAGATGCACCAAAAGGCTGTGGGGCTGCGGTAAGCCTCGTGTTGGAGGGGAGCTGGCTTGCGTAACTGAATTTAGCATCACCCGTGACACAATTTGGTGGCTTCTTGGTCTTCAGTCGTGACAAACACAACCCGGACCTGCTCTGCCAACGCCCCGCCAGGACGGAGGGAAAATAAGTCACAAGCCTGCAGGTTGTTCTGTTTTATTTCTGAATTATTCTTTACATTGTACAATATATAAAAATACAGAGTACCCCAAAAAAATTCACAGTGTCTAAAGGCAGTGATTACAGTCTAGGTCACCTTTATACTAAAGTACCATCGAGTTCAATTGCATAGGAAGGGTGATGTGCCTTCACAACAGAGTCCAGCCACACGCTCCAGGTTTTGCTGTTTTGGGACAAGCCTTCCCACAGCGGCTTCCCCTGCACCCGAGGCCCAGCACCACCTCATCACGCTCCCGCCCCATCATTTCGGGGCCACCCGCGCCGTGTCCTCCCTAAATCCTCCCCCCGTGGGAGCTCTCCCCGTTCACCGCGGCGCTTTCAGGGCCCTGCGCGCTCAGATGTTATCTGACGGGCTGAGTGTGGGTGCAAAGCGCGCTGTGGTGCAGCTGGCTGGCTTCCAGTGTTTGACGTGTTGGTACCAAAAGCGTTTCGCTGCAGTTCCTGATGGCCCGGCCACGCTGACCTCTTCCTGACTCCGCGGCACCCGCTCATCGGGGCCGCAGCGGAGCTCATGCTTTGCGCTGTCAGGTTTGTTTAAAAACAGCTCACGGGTGGGAATGCCAGAAAGCCAAACACCGCGCTCCTATCACGGACCCATCGCCAATAGCAGGGGTGAATTTGCAGCTGAGGCTGGAGGCAGAACAGGAAAAAAAAAAAAAGGCCCAAAGAAGGAATTTTGGGGCAGAATGGCTGAGGCTGAATAACCCCCAAGGACCTCCATGCTCAGAGGGTGTATTTTAATTATTAATTTTAATTTTAATTTTAATTTTAATTTTAATTTTCTTTTGTCCAATTTGAAGGCTCTGGCAATCAGTCAGCATCAAAACCTGTGGGCTTGCTCGCCTACCCCAAACCTGCTCTTGAAGCCTTCTCAAGTTTTCTCCCAACAGGCTTAAAGGGAAGACTCCCCTGTATGAATCTGGTCCTTGCTCTGAATGGCATTAAGAAGGCCTGTTGAGGAAAAAAAAGCACCAAACCCAGCTTCCTGGTGTTTCTCTGCTGTGCCAGACGGCTCCAAGGGGCGCCGTGCCGTGAGCACAGCCAGCTCACGGGAGCAACGGGGCGAGGAACAGCTGTGGAGCTGCGGCCAGCAGTGCTGGAAGCACTGGGTGCCTCCCTCCGCACGCCGTGTCTTTTTTGGACCCCTCAGAAAACCCGAACCCATTGTTTTTGAGGGTTTTCTCAACCCTAAGCTCTGCACTGAAACCTCCTTGTGTCACTATAAGGCAAGGCTTGTAATGCTGATCAATAACTCAGAAAGTAATTGCTAACTCCTTTAACGTGGAAGATGACATTTTTTTCCAGTTCCAGTAGGTTATGTGTTTTACTCTAATGGTACAATATTTGTTACTCCTACTTGCTATTTTAATTTTCTTTGCACAATTACTCCCTACTCATAATTACAAAAACAACAGAGTGATACACATGAGAGATCCAGGAGGCTTATTCAGAAAATATAAGCAGCAGCAAGAATCTTTCACTTAGGCATTCTGAACCAGAATGGTTTAGGGGAGAATCAGCACTTCTAACTAGAAAAATCAATTTTCTTTTCAATTAAAAAATTATATCTCATTTACCTCAAAAGCGTATTTTGTTAAACCTAACGGAAAGGACAGTAGATTTTTATGTATTTTTTTCCTTCGGTTTGTCCCTGTGGAATTGGAATACCAGCACTGCCTTTCTTAGTCTAAGTTCCCTCTGCAGGCGTTTTGCTATATATATATATATACTATATATATATATAGTGTGTATATATTATAAATATATACTGTATCTATCCACCGATAGATGTATACACTATTACAAAAAAAGAGCAAGTTGTTACACAAACTTTACATTTATATTTTATATATATATATATATAAAACTCTCCCCACACTACATTTGGTACAAAGAATAAATCAATCTTCGCGGACAGCAATTTCCTCTCCAGGTGGGCTCAACATCAGATTAACACTGGAGGCGTCAAATTGTCTGCATCAGACGTGGACTCCGCTCCTACCCTCTGCTGATTTCAGAGAAAGCTCTCTCTTTTCTGAAAGTAAGGCATTAGGGACCGTGGTGTAACACACTGCACATTCTTCTCCTATGCACGGCTCGTGTATTTAAGAGCAGCCAGGGCTCACATGCTCGACACTCAATCGCAGCTCTAGGGCAGCAGCATCTCCTGTGCTGGTTTGTCTCCGAGCGAGCTGCACGAGTTATTTCTGGTGGGTGAGGGCTGCCTGGGCTGGTGAAGCCCGATTGTGACCACACACGATATGGCCTGGATAACAGCGGGATGCACACCCCTTCTGCAGGGAGGAACACGGCCACTTGCATGGAGAAGGGAAAAGGAACGGCCCCATTAAAGATGTTTCAGCAAAACATTTGCCATAAGATTTCCATCGTGTTTCTCTCACTGTATAGCTGACTCCTGGCCCAAGGGTTTGCACAGAGGCAGTGTCTCCAGAGCAACTGTGTGACTGCCCAGGGTCCCCCTTCTCTTTCTTAGAAGTGGAAGAAAAAAGCTACATTTACAGCAAGCTGAGTCCTCTGGGAAGCAATGCTCCTGATCTAAATGCATTTCCAGTGCACTTCAAACTGGACTTAGGAACAGGAAATCTTAGCAAGTTCAGCACCCAGGAGCAATTCAATCTGCTAGAGACATTACAGACCTGATGATCAGACTGCTGCATTACCTGGACTGCAGGAACATCGCTGAGCACGGTGCCGTTAACCTGCCGTGCATTAGAGGCTCATAAAAATGCAGCCCTCATATCCCATTAACACTGTCCTTAAGGAACTGCGCTCTCACAAACATTAATTGAGTAATAAGTGCTCTGATTTCTCTCTTTCTCACTCTCTCCTGAATTCTACTTTCTGCTCGAATGGAGTCGACAGACCCTCACTGTGATTGCCAATTACATGACAAGGGCTGCATCCATTTGGATGGCTGGTAAGAAGGAATGTCTTGATGAAACTATAACCACATGCACCACCCTAAAGCATCTGCCCTCCAATAGCCTACGGAACAGCCACCTTCCGAGCACAATGGCAGTAATGACCCATCTTGGTGAGCTGAGCATTTAAATAACTTCAGCTGCTACATTGCACTTTCTTTGGAAAAAAATAAAAATCAGTTTAAATCATGTTATGCTGCGAGGACAAAAATGGAAAAATGTTTAAGGAGCAAAGAAAAAAAGGGGGTGACATTAGAAAATGGAATAAAAAAAAAAAAAAAGAGCAAGATTTGACCTGCTCACATCCCCCAAACTCCAGCTGCAATCCTGCCACGCGCATGGTGACTGCAGAATCACAGAATCGTCTAGGTTGGTGCAAGGCACAGGCTGAGAGGGCAGCCTGGAGGTGGCTTTAGCTTTATGATAGTACAACGAGCATGATCTCAGGAGCCCATGTTTTCTTCTGACTCCTCTAAATTAAAGCTGGGAAATCCCAGCCTGCTGGTCTACATAATCATGTTCAACCCCTCGGCTACATGCTTGTTAGGATGGCTTCAAGTCAGGATTCCCAGTGTTTCAGGGGGCATCAGGCAATCCAGCAAGACCGGGATGAATTCTTCATGGAACAAAGGCATCGCTCCTCAAAATGTTGGCTTTTTTTTTTTTTTCTTTTTTTTTTTTTCCAGAGCCCACCTGCAGGCGCTGGAGGCTGCTTTTGGTGCTGGGGTGCTGTGCTGGCCAGTCTGCTTCCCTGCTGCCACTCTCGCCCCGACACTCTTGCCCAGCTGCTGAAGACAAAGCTTCAAGGCTGCATCAGCATCAAATCTGACTGTGCTGCTTTAAGGGCACCTCTCTCTTTCTTTGTTCCCTCTCTTTCACCTGGTGAAACCGGAGCAGAAGCAGGATGAGCTGCTAAATTAGAAGAACAGCTGCTGGAAATGACGGGCACCACTGAGCCTAAGGCATCCTTGTGGCAGTACTAATGACCCCACTTTATTACCAATATCCCTACAGCCTTCAATCACTGCAAACTGAAGTCGAAGAAAGTAATTTAAAAATGGAAGGCTACTTTATTTTTGCCTTCTGGTCACACAACCGTAACAAAGGCTTACAAAGCCACGTTGGCTTTTCCTCGCAGGAAAAGCAATATAGTTGTCATGAGCAACACAGCCTTTCCTCATTCCCTACCGGCTCCCTACGTGGAAGAGCTGAGCACGCAGCCCAGGCCAGCCCTCCAAACAAGCAACTGCAAAGGAACAGCACTGAGACACTACCAAAGTGCTGGCTTATGGCAAAACCTGAAATAAAGCAAAGACAGAGAACGGCTGGGAGCACGGCCGAGCCGATGGCCAGGCAGGGGCATGGCGATCGGTCGGGTAAGATGCAGACAACAAATCCAAGCTCGGGACCACGTGGAGCTCATGCGTGTTTCAGGGCGTACTTTTATCTCATGCTCGGTATTGCGACATTCTAAAATCCTTAGCATCAGGAGTTCATTATAAATATTTAGAAACACTGAATGATAACAGTGGTGGACTTGTTCACGTTGCTAACACATTTGATGTAATTGTACATTAAGCACCAGCAATAAGTTTCCTTTTTGCCAAACAATTATGTCAGACAAACATCTGGCTGCAGACAACACAGCTTCTGCATCAAACTAATACAGTTCTTATAGACACAGTCACACACATACACAAAATTACATTTCAAGGCTGGATATACTGTTTAATAATGCTACCGCCCCAATTTACTTCAATAGCTGCAGCAGCATTTACTCGTTGGGTTGGTTTTGTTCAGAAAAATTAAGGAAATATTGGCAAACAATGCACATTACTCAGCTGTGTTACTATTTCATAGAGTACTGACTGGAAGACGCTATAAGAATGTGCAGCAGACTTTCTGGGTCACATCAGACTATGGAAACATTCCTTACAAAAATACCCTCCTCCTGCAAAGTCAGAATTATTCGCTCTTTGAAAGTAAATGAACTAAAAACCAACAACAAAACAAGAGTAAAAATTAGCCCAAAGCATGGTGATTTCCCACAAGAAGAGCGTGGCCTCTAAAGTTGTCTTTCCTGGCAGACACAATCAGGATCAAAGCTAGAACAAAAAGAGTTAACACTGTCTCAGAAACAACATAAAAGAAAGAAAGAAAAAAAGCCCATGGCTCTTGTGCGGCAATCATCACATATTTTTTTCCAGTGATATAAACATCTTTGTTTGTTAGGCACTCTAAGTTCATGTCTCCGATGTTATTCCAACATTTACTTTTCTCAGTGTCTCACTGCCTGTATAATTTCCTTTTAATTAAGACTGGAAACATTCTGGAAAGCTTCTTTGGATAATGCACGTTGTTTGTGTGTTGTTTCTCATCAGCTGAATTGCATATTACCAAAGAAGGCTGCAGAGATTATTTCCTGTAGTATGAAAAGATTCTGTTGAACATACAGGGAACAATGCCCTAGGAAGTTACTTTTTTTTTTGTTTCATAATCATAAAAAAATCAAAAATAAAAAAGGAAAAGGGAAAGAAAACGTTCTTCAAGTTGTTGGCACGATGGAGTCCCGCTCGGCCTGTTCCATGAGCCGTGTGTCTTCCAGTGCACCATTGCTACCCTGTCTCAGGAAGGATGCTCCTCACCGGACAGACACCCCTGCCCCAGGAGGCCACCACCTCTTGCACTGCCACGGGGCGGCCACTGAGCATGGCACACAGCCAGCTCCTCGGCATCGTTGGCCTTGGACAGCAACGCCGACCTTCCAGCCATGAACAGTCGCAGTAGTAAGAGCCATCTCCAACCAAATAGCCGCAAAAGCTCTGCGTAACGGTCCATATGCATTTTTGTCCTTGTAGGGAGATGTGCTGTTTACAAGAAATACAATTAACCAAAGGGAAAAAAAAAAAAAAAAAAAGACCCTACTGTACAATATTTACATCTAGAGGCTGGGCCAGTATTTGGTCCACAAAATCAATTAAAAAAAAATTCATATACGAAGTGATCCTGTCCTGTAGGCTCTGTCCATCATCAGCTGTTGGTAAAGGTCCTTCCAGGGGAGGCCTCAGGCCTGTAGTCATATTTATTCAGTGTACTGGGATAGTAGGTCGTCGTGTACACGTTGGTTTGCTGCAACGGGTAGAAGTTGGTCCTGTCATCTGGTATCAGGTTGTTCTTGTTAAGTGTCTGTAAAAGAGAAGAGGCAATGACAGGCACGGCAGCGGTCACGCATGACATCATTACTCGTTTCTACCTGCAGACACCTCCCTCTCAGCTGCCTTCTCCAGCAGGGTCCCCGCTGCAGCCACCACCGCCTTCCCTCCGGCTGGGAGAGTGAGCCGGTACTTGGTGCTCGCTCGGGGGCCAGTCTGCGGGGACCACAGCTCCTGCCAGGTCTCCTCACGGGGACCTGTGCTCAGCTACTGCTAGGGCCAGAAGCCAGAGCCTTCTCCAGAGACCCGGAGTCTCCTGGCAGATGGCGTGTCTGAACGTCAATGTTGCACAAAGCCATGCTGGGCCTACACGGAGCTGTTAATGGTAGCGCTCGATCTAATCCCTTCCAAAACGCTGGTGGTACAGCCTGCGGCTCCCTCGCAAAGCAGTTGCCAAAAGGCAGCTTTTTCTCTTTGGAAGAGCAGGTGTGCATTTACCTGATCTCCATCTCCATTGGTAGATATCCAGGTTTGGACCCCCCGATATTAAGTGTGTCACTTCTGTAAGCTACAGTATAAGTAACAAATCATGGTCACTTTCGGAAAAACTAAAATGACTTAAAAAAAATTAACAACCACGTAACAATTGTTGTCAACAGCAACATAAAAATGAGAAACACAAATGCCCCTTTTACCATAAAAAATTAGAATTGGGGCTTTTCTCCCTCCCCTCTTCCCCCCTTCTTCATTTTTTTGCACGAATTACTATTACTTTTCCCACCAGCAACCAGAGGTCCCCCTCCCCCAGATTAAAAACCATTCCTATGCCAGCTGTTACCTACACACAAGGTTAAAATTATGTTTTGGAAGATGCAATAATTTTACAAAATTTTCTTCTTCATCTTTATAGTCATCTGCTTTCTATGAATTTGGGTGGGGAACATTTCTAATAGCTTTTTTTTTTCAACTAACCCCTGGCTTCAATTTCTTATACGCGTCTCCGGCCTACAACGCTCCTCCGTGCACCTTTAACGTTTGTCATGCTGTATGGTAGGGAACTCACTCCTTGGATCTGAGGGTCAACACAAGGTTTGTTTGCTACAGCATCCTCGTGATCAGGGCACAGCACATTTAAGGAGGGGTTGAGCGTCTCCCCGGTCTGGAGCAGAGAGATGGAGAAGTCTCATGAGGCCTGGGCCTAATGGCTGTTCTGCCGCCTCCTGGTGCTTCTGCAGAAACCACTTCACCTCAGCGCCCATTGAGACAAAGGGCTCTCACCCAACCCAGCTCAGGGCAAGATGAGAATTAATTAATTAACTAATGCTCAAACCCAAGAAACACCCAGCCCCGTGAGCTTTACTCCTTTTGGTAGCTCACAGAATGGCTTCCCACAGCCTCAAGCACATCACACAGGGTGAGGGCCAACCCATCCAACTCCAGCCACCGAAACTTCAGGCCTCAGGGCTCCGTTAGCAAGAGGGGAAGAGGCCTCCCTCCTGCGTGAGGGCACTTGTAGAAAAAAAATTGCTTTTTTGGGGAGCCCCCGTCCCCGTGCCGTGGTGGCAGGGGGTGATCAGCCCTCAGCAGGTGCCTGGCTGTTGGCGGGCTGCCGTTAGGGGAGCCCGGGGCAAGGCCACGACCACTTCAGTGACCAGAGCTACCTTGAGGCTCCGAGACAAGGCCACAGGCAATACATTTATGTCCCAATTTCTATGTAATTGAATAACTCTGCTGCATGGGGAGGGGGAGAGGAGGAGGAAGAAAAGAAGATACTTTCTTCTAGTCCAAAAGCAGACTCATGGCTACAGCTACCCTAGTAGCTGTGCCTCCCGGTTTCATAAAGATGTTAGGAGGAAAGGCTTTCCTGTGGCAAAATACCCTGGAAAAGAAATCTCCCAATTGCTGAATTACTCTATTTTTTTGGAACTGGGCATTATGTGAAACACTTTGTACATGAAAACAGGAGGAGACCCAGCCTCCTCCTGGTCTGACTTAGATCTTTCCCTGCCTGGACTCTCTAAAATGAGTTCACAGCACATCACTTGTAGGAGCTGAAGAGAGAATTTGTACAGGCATGCTCAAAATGACAAATAATTCCAAGGAACGAGAATTTGTGCCCTTCAATAAGAAAGGAAGAAGAGAAATGTCATGCTTTGCTCGCAGTCACCCGAAGAAATATTAAAATGGTGCAGGCAACAGTCTGCTGCTTTGTGCTGGAGGCTGGCAAACAAGGAAGTCAGGTTCAGTTCTCCACTGCTTTCTATGCTTCCTTGGGAAATTCAATTAACTTCTCTGTGCTTCAGTGTCTCCTGACCCAGCTTGATAAAAATGATTGAGATCGCCGCTAAAAACGCACTTTGCCAGGTACTGTCACTGAGTATTTGGGGAACTGCTCTCTGGCAAACAAACACAGGTGTTCATCCCTGCTGTATGCAGCAAATGCAATTTCCTATCAGCATCTCTAGCTCAGGATGCCCACTCCAGGAAGCATAACCCCATGGCCATGGGCTGCCCCAGCAGGAGGAATAGGCTGATCCCCACTGCTGTGCTCCCCAGGTGCTCCTGACAGCAGCCCAGCATCCTGAACGTGTCTGTATCACCTTTCGGCACAGTTCAGATTCGAGGCATGCCAAGAGTACAGCCTCTGAAATTTGGTGGCATTGAAATCCTGACCTGCATTGGCTCAGGACCATCTTGATCTGAGGGCAAAACCCTCAGGACTCTACATTTTTCAATTGGAAAAATCTGTATGAGTTTCAACAAGTCCCCCCAGTGTTTAAAACCAGCCCCTGACAGAAGACTTAGCATTTAATTAACACAAATCACGTAATTTTTTTTCTCGTCTTACTTTCATATAACATTTAATTAGGAAAAAAACCCACAACTGTTCCTTTGCTCTTTTTGTTGTTTTGATGGAGGGCTTATATCTTAGGGAAATACCTTATGAAAATGGTTTAACGGAATTTATAATGCAATTAGCCGCAAGGAATTTATCTCTGGAAAAACTGCGAAGGCAGTACAGTCCTAAATCAGCATGATCAATGCGGACTGCCTTCACGTTTCCCCACACAAACTTATTGTCTGTCTCATTTTAATAAATAGGTGATTAGGTTCCTTGGCACTAGAAATTGCTTGATATTTTGAAGACGGGAAATTAGGCAGCCGTGAATTTTAGCGATGTACACACACACACCGAGGCACGCTCTGTGTGAGAAGAGACGTGCAGTTACATCTCCCTGGGTGGGCTCCCGTGCCATCTCACTGAGAGCTTTAACCCTTGCTCTTGTCTGGCTCCTCTTCGCTGTGACTGTGCAGAGAAGGCCACTGATTTTCCCTTTGGATGATATTACCCCAACACTGTATGGGTTACACCATCAAGGTCAGAGCCCCTCAGCAACCCGAGTTATTGTGGGGATGAAAACAGCCTGCAGCAACCACAGGTGTTCCCACTGATACTTGTCAGTCCCGATGGGAAAGGCCAAGAGCTATCACCACCTCCCACTAGCCAACCTGAAAAACAAACCCATAACCAACCTTTGCTCTCAACCCAACTCCTACGAGGTCTTCTTCTCCTCAGCCACTTTCGAGCCAAGTCCCCAGTATCACAGAGACCAAGAAGAGGCTCCTGAAGGCAGTGCCCAGTAAATCCTCTGAGAAGGGACAATACTGTGTCGCTTTTGTAGGGATTTATCTATGGTTGCTATAACTAAGATGACTAAAGCATCGCAGCGAGCACTGGAGCTCAGCTGTCCTCAGCTGAGGTTTCAGAGAAGGAAGAGAGCCTTGTCTTTGCTGCCTGGGCCCTTCTGCCACACCATCCTGCACCCTCCAGGGTGACGTTTCAGTCTGAGCACCCACCAGACCCTACTGATGGCATTTTTCCCAATGCTCATCCTGTATTTTCCACTTCTTGCTGTCTGCTCTCCCCCCATAACGAGCACTAATGCCTCCCCTTGCCAGCAGCTCCAACCTCTTGGTACTAGCTGCTGAGCACGCAGGATCAAAAAAGACAAAAAGCCCGACTGACTTCTGCTGAAACACCACTTGGTGCAGAATCTCTGTGCCATACGTAGCTGTATTTTAAACACTGATGGAAATGGAGTTCAGGCTCTCTTTTCAGTTCCATCCTCCCTTGAGAAGAAAGAAGCTTCTGGTAGTTGTGCAAACAAAATATTCCCCATTCAAAATTGAGACCATAACCCGAGCTACTGTCAAAACTCGTGTGATGTGGTTAGAAAAAAGTGCTCCATTCAGAGAATAACTGGAAACTCAACATGCATCAATCACATATTTTTACTTGCTTTCTTCCTTTCTGTATGAGCCATGCCATCCTAGCATATTTGATATCATTCATATTTTTCTGGTCTATTCACTGCTAACCTCAATTCAGGATCTTTAAGCAGAAGGTACGCCACCAGCATGTACTAACAGCTCCATGTGGATCACTCAGAAGCAGGAACAACTTCAACTTCTCTCTTTAAAAGACACTTTATTATGTTGCATTGGCATATGACTAACAGAGAATAAAAAATTCTCTGACCTGGGAACTCTGCTTTGTCAAACGGGGATGTTTTCAGATGAACTAAGATGGATATGGCTTAAGAGGATGCAAAACAGCAGCAGCTTTCTACATTACGTGTGATCTGTCAGCTAATCAAAAGGTCTGGTCTTACTGCCAGCAAATTACACGCTTATGCCAAGCACAACAGAATACTGAGTATTTACAGAAATACATAAACAATTAGTTATCACTCTTGCTATTATATTAGCAATTAGAACTGAAACAATCTGAGGGGAAAGTTTACTGATATCCCCTCGCGTGTTAGTCTTTCCCTGGAACTCATACAGGAGGCAAAATACCGACATACACGCACAGGCTGTTTCTCCCAAGGTAAAGACAAGCATCAGATGTCTTTATTGGGTCATATGCATACATTTAATTTAGCTCAGCTTTTACCATTGATATTTTTAGCCTAAGTCATCATTCAGATTTTCCATTTGTTGCTTTTCCTCCAGCAAAGCCTTGCCGCTACT